GCCATTTCATTCCTATACACTAACAATGACATTTCAGAAAAAGAAATGGAAAAAACAATTCCTTTTGTGATTGCAACAAAAAGAGTAAAATACCTACAAATAAACTTAACAAAAGATGTGAAGGACTTATACACTGAAAACTACAAAGTATTATTAAAAGATATTGAAAAAGACACAAATAAATGTAAAGATATTCTGTGTTCCTAATTGGAATAATCAACAAAGTTAATATGGCATATCACCTGTTAGACAGATCTAAGTAGAGTAAGGATGATGGCCCCGGTACAGAAACTCGCCAGGGCAGAAAGCCCCGGATGCTAACCAGGGTCAATACTGGGAAAACAAGAACCTCGCCTCCACTGTAGCCTAAATGTAAAGATATTCTGTGTTCCTAATTGGAAGAATCAACAAAGTTAATATGGCATATTACCTGTTAGACAGACATAAGTAGAGTAAGGATGATGGCCCCGGTACAGAAACTCGCCAGGGCAGAAAGCCCCGGATGCTAACCAGGGTCAATACTGGGAAAACAAGAACCTCGCCTCCACTGTAGCCTATCCTCCCCTCGCATATCACTGGTCATGTGGTTTGGACCCCTTATCTTTCATGTCACTGATCAGGTGGTTTAGACCCCCTGACATTTTCCTCCCTAAAGATAGGACTCAGTTGCATAGAAAGCCCCGGATGCTAACCAGGGTCAATACTGAAAAAACAAGAACCTCATCCCCACGGTAGTGTATCCTCCCCTCGCATATCACTGGTCATGTGGTTTGGACCCCTTATCTTTCATATCACCGATCAGGCGGTTTAGACCCCCTGACATTCTCCTCCCTAAAGATAGGTCTCAGTTGCATTTCAGCTCCAGGCCCAGAAAAGCAGCAAAACCAGACAAGTGATATTGTGGCTGCCTCAGGACCAGCTACATTGACTAATGACCCTCTGCCCTGGCACCAACCAATCAGAGGAGACAATGACACCTGGAAAGCTGATGAATATTCTATTAAGACCCTCCCCTGAAATCTCCCCTAAGATTTCCACCTGCAAGAAAGAGATAACTAAGCTTTCAGGACAAAGGACCCAGAGCCTGCTCTCCCTCCAAGGAGCCCGCCAAGGTCATTTCCTTCCCCTTCTCCTCCCCCAACAGGCACGTATCCCCTAACCTCTAAGAGACCCAATGAGGCTTGCAGCCAGGGAGCAATGGGCAGCTGCAGCTTGTCCCCGGCTAAGCCCCTGAACCTGTCTCTAAGGCCCCTTTTCTCTGGCTTCTCAGTGAGCCAAAGCAGCCCAGCTCAGGCTCTTCTGTTGCTTCTTCTATGCCCTTCCTTGTTTCACTGCTGCCCTAAGAACTGTTGCTTCTCCTATGCCCTTCCTTGTTTCACTGCCCTAAGGATATTTTTGCTGCTACCATGGACCCATACCCTTTGGCTCAGGGCTGTGTAACCCTGCCCTTTGGATATCTCCATCCCCCATTCCTTTTTATTTAAATAAATTTTAATTTTCTTTAATTACTGTCTGAGATGGCTATTTAGCCTTGCCTGCATACCACTGACTTTAACCTTTCATTACCCAATGCAATATACAAAGTTAATACAATCTTCAACAAACCCTAATGGCATTTTTAAAAGAAGTAGATCAAAAATTTTCAGATTTGTATAGAACTACAGAAGACCCCAAATAGACAAAGCAATCCTGAGAAAAGAGAGCAAAGCTGGAGGTATCAAACTCCTTGACTTCAAATTATGCTACAAAATGACAATAATCAAAACAGCACAGTATTGGCAGAAGAACAGACACACAGAACAAGGGAACAGAATTGAGAGCCTAGAAAGAAACTAACATACATATGGACAAATAATTTCGACAAAGGAGCAAAAAAAAAATACATTGGAAAAGAAAAAGGCTGTTCAATATGTGGTGCTGGAAAAATTGGAAAGCAACATGCAAAGAATGAAACTAGACTACTGTTTGTCCCCATTTACAAAATTAATTCAAAATGGATCAAAGACTTAAATATAAGACCTGAAAAAATAAATTCCATAGAAGAAAACATAGGCACTAAACGTATGGACCTTGGTCTTAGAGAGGATTTTATGAATTTGACCCCAAAAGAAAGTAAAGTAAAGCAAAAATAAATGAGTGGGGCTATATTAAACTAACAAACTTCTGCACAGAAAATGGAGCTGCCAACAAAACAAAAAGGCAACCAACCGAATGGAAGAAGATAGTTG